CTCTCTCTTTAAAAAAAAAAAATAAATAAAATAAAATAAAAAGAAAAGAAAATATAGGGATATATACACAAAGGAGTTCTAGTCAAACATAAAGAAGAATGAAATGAGTCATTTGCAGGAAAATGGATGGAGTTTGAAAACATCATGTGAAGTGAAATAAGCTGAACCAGAAGGTTAAGGGTCACATTTTTCCTTCATACATGGAAGCAAGAAAGTAAAAAGAAGAAAGCCAAGGAGTCTCATGAAAATCAAAGGGACACTAGAGAGGAAAGGGACCCGGGGTGGGAGAAGGACAGGGAAAAGAGTGATATTGGCCCAATTACATTGTTAGATCGTGTGCACATGCAGATGTGTAACCGTGATCCCGCCATCATGTGTCATCACACTGCATCAGCAAAAATAGAAGGGAAAAGGACAAATAATGAGAGAACCCAGCAGAACCTTGGAATCTGTAAAACAAAGTAGCAGTGTGACTCGGAACTGTTGTTTCTTGATTCTGGCGTCTTCCTTATTGTGAAGGAGAGCTCAGTCAGTGTAGCAGGGCCTTTCTCAGCGCTTTGTTCATCGACTCTGAATGGACTGTTCCATCAGTTCCACCCCTTGCTCCTGAGAGGGGAAGCCTGCCCGCCACCACTCTGCTCTGTGCCTTCACCCTGACGTGCCCCTCACCCAGGCCGCCTGATTCTCAGGGGCAGTTGCCGTCACACTGAAATTCATTCTCCAATCTGGCCCCTACAGTAAAAAAGTAGACATGTGGACATCCAGATTTATTTTTTGCTTTATTTCTCAACCTATTTGGGACTTGAAAGAAAAGGGAATGCCCTTGTCAGGATCCCCTTCATCCCTCCCTAGTCCAGAGGTAATTATCTTAGCAGAGAGGAGAAAACCTCCCCTCGAGAGAGGTTCAGGGTCAAATTGATTTGCATCCCATAACCCACAAAACTTCCAAGGCACTAAGAACTCTTGAGGTGAGGGTGAAGGTAGAGCTAAAACAGAATACGGTCAAAGGTTTATTGAAAGAGGGAATTTCAGTTCCCAGCTCTGGTCTACAGAGATCAAAGAGTTACTCTACACTCAACCTAGCCCATTGGATAGAGGGAGCAGAAGAAGTGAAAGTTTCTGTGAGAACGTGAGAAGCCTCCCTCTCCACCCCGACCAACGCTTTTCTCTCTTTCATTCATCTTATAATTGAAGTGTGACTTGAGGTCAAAAGTTAGAAGCTTCTTCTCTGAAGAGAATGGTAGGAAATGGCCAGATATGGTCATCCCTTCACCTTGCATTCTGCCAACCGACACCTTCCAGAGCTGATCATAAACACCTGAGGGCTGCAGTCTGAGGTAGGAATGAAAAGGCAAGAATCACCAAATATTTTAGAAGGGGTCTGACAGAAAATCAGAAACCCAAAATAAACAAATTCAAAAAAGAACTCCGAAGAAACAGAGGCAGGGCAGGGAGCAGGAGGAAATAAGGAAAAGAATGTTATTTCATAAGACAGGGACTGTAGTTCTGTGGTAAAGCATTCTCATGCTGGGCGCAGTGGTGCACACCTATAACCTCAGTGGCTCGGAGGCTGAGGCAGGAGGATCCCAAGTTCAAAGCCAGTCTCAGCAAAAGTGAGGCACTTAGCAACTCAGTGAGACCCTGTCTCTAAATTAAATACTAAAATAGGGCTGGGGATATGGCTTAGTGGCCAAGTACCCCTGAGTTCAATCCCTGGTATCCCTACCTGCCCCCCCCCAAATTCTCATACTATAACTAACAGCAATGTGATCTGGAAAACTGAAAAAAAATATTCAAAGGAATTCTGACCACCCTCCTCTCCCTAATTACTTTGACATTAATTCTTGAGCACTTTTGTGTTTTCTTAAGCAGCTGTAGTACTAAAGTGTTAAACAATAAACATGTAATACTAAATGTGATTTCCTATCAAATTAGAATCTCAGGTCTACATTACCTCAGGGTGCAATGTTATTTGCTTTTCTAGAAAATCTGATTCCATCTATTTCTGTCTCCTCACTGATTCTTTCTTAGCCATTAGTTACCACTTGTACTGCTTGCAGTTCTGTGGTAACCATTCTTGGTTTGGGGGTTTTTAAAAATCCAACTCCCTCCTTTATTTAACTCCACCACACAAACTCAGAGCAATTAACAGGTTCCTATAATGTTTTAGAGTAGCGAGTTTAAATATCTAAGTTGAGACCCTTTAAGACAAGACCAACAAGAACCTGAACACTTTTGATTCTGACGTTCACATTTCACTGCATTTGCTAGGACAGGAGATGGCGCCAGAAGGCAGTGGAATGGCTTGGTTTTAGTAGTTTGGCCAACCCCAGGAAGAGAAAAAGACTGGAATGGGAGAAGTCAGCACTGAAACAAAGATGCCAGGGTTTGAATAGAAACTATCACTTAAAACAAAATAATCAGGGGGCTGGGGTTGTGGCTCAGCAGTAGACTGCTCGCCTAGCACATGCCAGGCCCCGGGTTCGATCCTCAGCACCACATAAAAATAAATAAATAAAATAAATGTATTGTGTCCAGCTACAACTGAAAAAGAAATATTTTAAAAATCATAATAATTAGGGTTATCTTGACACGTACTCCATGTCAGCAAGACTAGAACGCAACAATGGATGTATTCACAATAAAGCCAAAGATCAGAATAACATCAAATCCCCAGATGAGGATGCTCACCGCCTTTCTGCCTCTCTCCTAGAAACAAAAGCAGCCGTCTGTTTGGGAGCATGAGCACCCAGAGGGGCTGCTCACTCAGGAATGGAAAGTGCTGATTTGGGGCTAAGAGATCTTTGTGAAATAATGTTCAACTGTACAGAAAAAAATAAATAAAAAATAGCCCGCCACAGTGAAATTCTTCCCAGAAGGAATCACACTGGAAACATTTTAAATTTAAGAAATTCACAGATTAGCCAGGAGGTGGCGCCTGTCGAGACATGCCACCTGCCTTGGGACACTGACTCCCGATCCCCGCAGGCTCCAGGGGACTGTCCTGGCAGAGGTCATTCAATGCAGACTTCTTTCCTACTGTGTGAAAGACATTTCTGCTTTTTTTGTGGTGGCGGTTCCTCTGTATTAACCACTCTGATTCTGAAGAAATCGGATTTAAACTTTTGTATTCTTCATAGATGGGATGGATAGATGAGTCTTTGGGGAAACTTCAAAAACAGAAAACTTTTCTGTAAGGGAAAAATACTTTCAGAGGGAGATGAGAAAATAAAAAAGGAAAGGACATCTGAAAACAAACGGCTCTGTTTGGCAGAGCCATCCCAGGAGACAGGAGGGCGCAGCTAGCGCCTGCTGCAGGAGCTGAGGGTCCATTATTCCCTTCCTTTGGCTTTTATCCTGCTCCCTTATTTAGCTTCGGCTCCCTTTGTTTGGGCTGTTTATTGCCACTCAGAAGGAGCAAAGAGGACAGAGGGAGCTCAAATGGGTGCATCCTTCAGGCTAGTGACCCTGGTGAAGGGTGTGGAGGAGAAATATCTGAAATTATCTGTGGGCTTTCACAATCCCTAATGAGGGATTTAGGATGTACATTCCGATCGGGATTTCCAGTCCTGTGGGGGAGCACACACCAGCCCACATTCCTGAGACGCGCCGCCTCTGTAAGGCTCTGCTGGCCCGGCTCCACAGTGGCAGGTTTCACTCAGTCCCACTGTCCTGCCTCGGCCCCCCTGGGGCAGGAAGGAAGACCCTGGGCCACACAGACTCTCTCTGCTCTCTCCATGCTTGTTCTCTGGAGTCCGCCTTTTCTGTGATAGTGATTGTTTCCATGGTCCCCCCATCTCCCTCCAGCCCAGGCCTCTCTGCTAGGGGTCAGTGTCCTCTTAAGTGACAAAAGCCGCCCTAGATCTGGGCTCCCTGGGGAGGGAGGTGGCTGTGTCTGGCAGTTAGAGCCGCTGTCTCTCCATGGTGCTGTGGCAGCCCCTCCCCCACTGGGCACACAAATGGGCTTTATACAGCAAACAAAACCACCCCCCCCCAAGCCACACAAGCACGTGGACCCAGGCCTCACCGTGGGAAGGGGGTAGTGACAGGAACAGGAGGAAGACAGCGCTCCCGACAAGTTCTCCTCGTATTACTTCTCTGATTCTCCACAACCCAGGTTTCCAGACCTTGACTTCCCAGCCCTACCCCACCTGCACCCTGAGTCCCCAGCTCCTTCTTAACTTCTCCCCTAACTCTGACATCTATTCCAGGCAGCTCAGACACTGCAAGGCGTTGGGACTAGGCCCCCCACCGCCCAGGGTGCCACTCCTCAGGGGAGAAGCCAGGCAGGCAAATGAGAACATAGTGTCTTCTTGAGGTGGCTGCATTGAGCCCCAAAGGCCCCCTTTCTTGTTCCTGCCTGCTCCAGGGGACACCCATCTGAGCAGTATCTGCGTGAACAGCAGAGAAGAGCTCACCCAGCTGGGCTCCTGAGCCAGGGCCAGGGCTCCGGTGAAACTCGCGCTCTGGCTCTGAGCGGGGCCATCCTGCATGCCTAATTGGCTATTTAAGGAGCTGCCCGCCTGCAGTCCAGGCACCCCCCCTCCCCACGTACACCAGTCCAGAGCCACCTTAAAAGCGAGAGGCAATTGTGAAGTCACTGGCCAGCAGTGGACTGGAGACTTCAGAAAGAGATAAAGAGAGCAGAGAGAGGCAGCAAGAGATTTTTCCTGGGACGCAGAAATTCAGGGTATCCCAATGAAAATCAAATTCCCTAGAAATCCAGATACAGCAAGAGAAAGAGAGATAAATATACTCAACGCCAGGAATTCTTCTTTCCTCTCTCTTCCTCAGTCTCTCCTAGTCCTTTAGTCCCCAAATTCCTGGTTCCCTGTGCCCCCTCCTGGGGATACCATGTTGTTCTTCGCCCTCCTGCTAGAGGTGATTTGGATCCTGGCTGCAGACGGGGGTAGGTACAACTGGCTGTCTGTGTGTTGGTCTGGGCTGATATCCACATGTCACCATGTGTGCTCAGTGGGGGGAGGAGAGGTAAAAGGACGCCCAGGGGCTGGAACAATAGGCGCAGGGGAAGGGAAAAGAACATGGAGGAAACCGTTCCCTTCTTTTCCCTTTACCTTTCCAGCCCAGCTGTTGGAGACAGGGAGAAGGTGCCAGGGGCAGCCTAATACAGACCAGAGCAGGCATCTCCTTGCAGTTTTCCAGAGGCTTTCCCCACTGTCCTAGTCGCAGGCCGCCCTGGTAGCTTCTTTACAAACTCTGCCGGGGAACTGAGGCGGGGGACATATCTAACAAGGCCAGCCCAGCTCAGACCCTGAACTCCAGCTGATCGCTGGATCACCTCACAGCTGAAGTCCTCTTTAAAAAAAAAAAAAAAAAAAAAAACAACAACTTTGTTTTAGTTGTAGTTGGACACAATACCTTTATTTTATTTTTATGTGGTGCTGAGGATGGAACCCAGGGCCCCACACGTGCTAGGCGAGCACGCTACCACCGAGCCACAACTCCGGCCCCCCTCCTCTTGGTTCTATGGAGAGATTAACTTCCTAGTTTTCCCCTGAGAATACTAGTAATAATAGTCAATATTGGTTTGACCCTTTACAGTTTAAGGTGGATTTTCAGGAACTCCCAGGAGATGAGGTGTTCTTGGGAGAACTGACTGAGGAGCTCCAGAAGTGTCCCCAGGACACCTACACCTCTTTTTTGTGTCTCTCTCATGCCTAGCACACAGTAGGCGTGCAATGAAGGTTTCTTAGAACAAGGCAAAGAGCTGCCTAGGGAGCAGAAGAATGCAAGAGGTAACAGAACAGGCGAGCCAAAATTTCATCTGAGGAGAAAGGAAAAAAATAGGGAAAGAAAGGGGGCGTAGAATGACTGTGTTGAGGATTTGGTGGGGGGAAAAGGGCCCCAGGGATTCCCTCTGTTGGGGTGGCCCACAGACTGGTAAATAAGGGTTGCCTCCAGCCGTTTCTTGGGCTGCTTTTCAAAGTTGCCGGAGCTGAGGGATGGGCCAGTGGAATAGACCCAAGAGATCCAAGACTTCTTACAAGTCTGAGAGAGGGGGAAAGAGTTTAGGGTTTTCTCCGGAGTTTCTGGCCATTTTAATGTTGCAGCAAAAATCCGCAGGCCTCCCTCTTCCCCTTGAAGCAGTTTGGCCCTGTGTGGGGCTGGGCCAGCAGACCCCCCGCCTGTCAGCCAGAGACAGGACTGCACGAGAGCCTGCAGAGAGCCTGGCATGTGACCCGCTGGCAGCTCTCCTTTTTACACACAATGCTGCATTTTCATCCTGTCCCTGCCAGCCTGGCAGCCTATGCCCACCCACCACCCTCAACCTAGAGTAGACCCTGCCTTGACTCCCACCTCTCCAGAGACAGCAGGGATCTTGGGAAGCAGGGGTTCCAGGTAATGGGGAGTTTCCTCTAGAACTAGTGGGATCAGAAGGGAAGAATTTCAGTGTTGATTTATAGATCAGTGCCTTCCTTTATGCAATGCTTCAAGGCAAAAGAATGATTCTCCCTTCTGCTCTCAGTAGCAGCCCCCCACCCAACACACATACAGAACAGCAAAATTCTTTCCCTTCTTCTTTTTCTGGTCCCTTTCCTCCAAACCCTCTGCCCATATTCTCACCTCACCCCACCCCAATCTTCTGTTAGATGGACTTGGCCCAGGCTGGAGTGAGGGTTGGGCTGACGGCACATTTAGACCCAAGTTAATTTTAGTCTCCAGGCTTTATTTCTCCATTCCCCTTCCTCCTTTACTCAGCAAGCACCAGCTGAGCCTGGCTGTGATTTTAAATAGGCCCCCCGACCTTTTCGGCTGAGGTGTCGGGTTTCAGGGCTTCCTTTGGGAAGTGGAGTGGAAGGCAGAGGGGGAGGGGAAGTGGTACCAAGGGCCCCTGGGAGGGGAGGGTGGAAGCCAGGGCCCTGCCCCAGTCTGCATTGGTTGTAACCCAAATTACTCTGTCTTGCAGGTCACCATTGGACATACGAAGGTGAGAACAGAACTCCAGGCGGCCTGTCAACACCCTTCTAACCCTGGGACCTTCACCTGCAGGAAGACTTATCCTGGGGTGGGGAGCAGTTTCCTTTAGCTTTGCACACTAACGCCTCCCTTCCCCATCTCCCCTTGGCCTGGGCTGTGCATGTATGATTTGTAGACCCTGTTGTAATCATTAAATCCCACACCTCCTGATTCAGCATAAAAGTCAGTTGAGTCCTCAATAAATCAGTGTGGGAGTGAGGGAGTTGGTGTGGAAAGAAAACTGGGTGGGGAGAGGATCTCCTCAGAGCTTAGCTGCTATTCTCTTGGCTCCCTGAATTCCTCTCAGTCCTGTTCCCAACCTGCTTTTGGAACTGGGACAGAGCTTGAGATGAGGAGTGAGGAAGAGAAGCAGGTTAGTTTGTGACCTTAGGGGAGGTGGAACTCTATCCCTCTGAACTTCTGATGAAGGACTTTAACAAAACTCCAGTCTCAGTGCAAATTTCAGTGTGAGAGCAAGAAATGACAAAAAGTCAAGATAGGTAGCTGAATTCCAAGACTACTTAATAGGGCACTCCAAGGAGACCTTCTCTCTAGGATCATTTATTTCCCCTCATTTTATCATTCCTACTCTAATTCTACCTCTCTGGGCATTCAGGCTATCTATCCATCTCCTCTTCCCCTCATTCAGCTTTCTTGTCCTCAAACTACAGGTAAGAGCTACCACTTCACATGTACCAGGGTAACTGGGGAGTCATCTCTGCCTCTGGGTAGGCAAGGGAACTGCAGCGTAGAGTCGGGTGGGACTGCTACTTGTCTCTCCCGGGTGGGGCAAGTGCATTTCTACCTGCACACAGATGGATAACTTAGTAGGGGTGTGTTGAAGGGTGGCTGGGACTGGAGGGCAGGACAAATATCCATGGTTACCCCCACCAGGCCCACATGGTCAGGACCATTGGCCAGCCTCTTACCCTGAGTGTGGAAGCAATGCCCAGTCCCCCATCGATATCCAGACAGACAGTGTGACATTTGACCCCGAGTTGCCTGCTCTGCAGCCCCACGGATATGATCAGCCTGGAACTGAGCCTTTGGACTTGCACAACAATGGCCACACAGGTAAAAACCTAAGCTCCCAGTAGTTCAAATCTCCAGTTCAAATCTTAGGGGCCAAGAGAAAGAAGTATTTTCATAACACAAGTTTTCAGAAAGCTCCGTCCATGAATTTGGAGATATAAGAATGAGGATTGGGCTCCTGTAATCAAGGTGGGAGCTAAATGTCTCTGATCAAGCCTGAGGGGTCGACCTCATTGAGAACAGGCAAGCTGTGCTAGAAGAGCACTGGTCTATGGGAGGAATGATCTCCCGAGAAGTGGCAACCACAGGTGAGAATGACCCATGTTCCTCCACCAACTCTAACTTGCTCTTTTCCTCACAGTGCAACTCTCTCTGCCCCCAACCCTGTATCTGGGCGGACTGCCCCGAAAATATGCAGCTGCCCAGCTCCACCTGCACTGGGGTCAGAAAGGATCCCCAGGGGGGTCAGAGCACCAGATCAACAGTGAAGCCACGGTTGCAGAGGTATCAGAGAACAAAGAGCTCGGACTAGGACCCAAGGGATGACTCAGGGATGACTAGTTCTGGGGAAGGAATCTGGACACTAGGAAAAGCCCTACGGGGGGAACAAGTGTTGGGGACAGATTTGGAGCATGATGGGGGTTGCAGTGGTGGATAGGTCAAGGCCTTGGAGGGAATGGGGCAGAAAAGCATTAAATGATTCCATCCCTCTCCCTTCCCTCAGCTCCACATGGTGCATTATGACTCCGATTCCTATGGCAGCTTGAGTGAGGCTGCCCAGAGGCCTCAGGGGCTAGCTGTACTAGGCATCCTAATTGAGGTCAGTGGCCCCCAGTCCCTCCCAGCTCTCTTTCCACTTCCTCTGCGTCCCTTAGGCCTATTTCATTGCCGGCCTCCTTCCTAACCACAGGCAACAATACCTCCTGACCACCTATTCTGTACATAAATGTCTCACTCCCAACACGGACTCATTCCACACTCTCTCCTTTTCCTCCCCTTCCAGGTGGGTGAGACTGAGAATCCAGCTTATGAACACATTCTGAGTCATTTGCATGAAATAAGACATAAAGGTGAGAACTAAAAATCTATAGTGAGATTAGACTTTAGGAATACTTTTAAAAAATGACCTAGGCTGGGCCTGCTGGCACACACCTGTAATCCCAGCATCTCTGGAGGATGAGGCAGGAGGATCACAAGTTCAAAGTCAGCCTCACTCAGCACCTGCAAGGTGCTAAGCAACTCAGTGAGACCCTCTCTATAAATAAAATACAAAATAGGATGGGGATGAGGCTCAGTGGTTAGGTGCCCCTAAGTTCATTTCCCGGTAGCCTCCCCCCAACCAAAAAAAAAAAAAAAATGTCCTAAGAGGTTTTGGGAGGCAGCAATTTCAGGGCCTGTGGGTTTTGCTTTGGAAACCCTGTCTAGGTAAGTCAGAGTACAGCAAGATGAATCCTACTCTGTTCTCCCCAGATCAGAAGACTTCAGTGCCTCCCTTCAATGTGGGAGAGCTGCTCCCCCCACAGCTGGAGCAGTTCTTTCGTTACAATGGCTCACTCACAACGCCTCCCTGCTACCAAAGTGTGCTCTGGACAGTCTTCAATCGAAGGGCCCAGATTTCAATGGGACAGGTGAGTAATAAAGAGGTAAAGGAAGAAAATTTTAACTCCAGACCCTTTCCCATCCCAAAAGTGACTTCTCCCACTCTTCTCAGCTGGAAAAGCTTCAGGAGACATTGTTCTCCACAGAAGAGGAGCCCTCTGAGCCCCTCATTCAGAACTATAGAGCTCCCCAGCCTCTCAATCAGCGGACTGTCTTTGCTTCATTCACCCAAGGTGACTCTCCAAGGCTCAGAAGAGAAGGGAAACCAGGGACTCAATGACAGGAACTAGGGAACACCTGAGACAGAAAAAGCTAAAAGGGGAAGGGGTTTCCAGTACTTACTTGGACTGGGAACCACCCCCAGCCCGGGGTGCCCAGGTGATTTTCCCAGGCATAAAAGCAGCGGGCTGCTTACAGTTGGGATGGACTCTGAAGCCCCACTGACCCAAGTTTTCTTCCTCTACAGTGGGATCCTCATATACCACAGGTAAGACAGCCCTACCCAGGACCTAAGAGACAGGAGGGACCTCAGCAAGTTGGGGGAAAGTTCAATGTTAGTCCTGGGCTGACACCTTCCATCGTTGTCTCCCGCAGGTGAAATGCTGAGTTTAGGTGTGGGAATCTTGATCGGCTGTCTCTGCCTTCTGCTGGCCGTTTATTTCATCGTTAGAAAGATTCGGTGAGGTCCTACTTTCCATTCCTGCAGTCCTTTCTTTTAAAAAGTATTCTCATATTCCACCTCTAATTGCTTCACTGAGGACACGAGTCACTCCCATGAACAATTATTCCCCCTTCCAGAAAGAAGAGGCTGGGAAACCGGAAGAGTGTGGTCTTCACCTCAGCACAAGCCACCACGGAAGCATAAGTTCCGAGACATCACGGATGCCTTTCCTTTGTGCCTGTCGGGGAGCCTCTAAATTGGGGTGCAGGGGCTGGACAGAAAATACTACTAGGAGTTGTAGGCAGACACCCCTCCTTTTCTGGACATCTCTCATACAGAGGTAAGGACGAGATTCTCATTCAAGGAAGAACAGCAGAGCCTTCAGCCTTTGGCCTCAAAACATGTAGGAGGACACCAGGAGACCCCCGTGTATTAACACAGCGGGCAAACTATGTTCAGTTGTAGGTGAAGTTGAAGATGTGCCCCAAGTCTCCACCCCTCGCCTTTTTGTCCCTTCCCCTAGATACACTGCAGGATCTCCCCCACGGAAAAAGGGCTGCTGCTGGGGTTACATATTTTTGTTCAGTATAATTGGAAATTAAAGTTTCTGACCTTAAGTCTGGCCTATCCTTTAGGGTTCCTGGGAGTGGGAGAGGTCCTTAACCCCTCAGGTGGTAGAGACAGGCAAAGGACATAGAAAAAGAAGCCTGGGTGACTAACTCCTTTTATCCCACCCCCAAAGGGGATGTCCCACATGTTAAACCACCAGCTCAGATTTCTGCCCTTGCACCAAAGTGATGCTTGGAGATCAGGGATTGCCAAGTCAGGAAGAAGACTGGACAAGAGGCACAGGAGGGCAGAAATCTCAATTAACATATCATTCCCTCCCTTAGAAGTCAACTTCCCCCACAATTATAAAGTACTTTTTATTAGTCAAAAATCACAATCACCTTGATTAAAAGGATGGGACACTCCACCCTCAGCAGAAAATGATACAGTTTATAGAAAACCTCCCCACCCCTCCCATACCCCAATTAAAAACTAGAAAAACCCCACCCTCCTTCCCTGGGATGTCCTGGAGTCCGACTCCTCCAGTGGCACTGCAGCTCTGGAGTGGCCGGCTCACGACAGCACCCTCCACTTCACCTTGGGGAGAGGAGGGATGCTGGTGGCCAAGGAGGTTAAGACCATTAGTTCCAGTAATACCAGTTCCCAAACATGCACTTCTTGCCTTTCCCCCAGGGCCTGGGACCAAGGGGAAAGGGGACAGAAATGAGCCCAGCCACAGGAACAATTTGAGGAGGGAAAATAATAGCCCAAGGAGGTGAGGAGAGTTCCAACATACCTCCTCCCTCCCTCCACTTAAAAAAAAAATAAAAGGCAGTTTGGGGTCTTTATCACACCAAAAAATGGTTCCCTTCAGACCTGAGAAAAAGACCAAGATGTCCAGTCTGGGGAGGGGGTACTGGAAAACTCAGAGATCATCTACCCTTGAGCTTCCATCCATTTCATCTCCAGGGCAAAGGCTAAACTAGGTCCCTTTTCTTGGCAACCTGCACTGTTCAGAACTGGAGATGGAGAAATACAGGGCGAGGAGATCAGGAGGGCACCCCAGGCCCAGGGGTCCCCCCCAGGTTCCCTCAGTCCTCGGGTGGGATGCGCAGGGCAGAATACACCATCACCCGACTGTCCTCCTGCCGTCGGCCTGCAGAGGGGAAGGGGGGTGAGTCATGGGCAGGGTGAGAGCAGAGCACTGACACATAGAGATTCCTGGACAACACGGGGGTCCCCAGGTGGTGGGGTAAGTGCAGATTCAAACCCACCAGTCACTGACTGGCTGAACCCAGGCTACTCCTGGTAAAGCTCAGAAACTAAAGGTCACAAATGGACAAAGCAAAACCCTGAAGGTTGTTGGGGTAGACCAACGAAGAGAGAGAAAGTGGGCAATGGACCCGGGCTGGGGCTGGGTTCAGTCATGGGCAGTGGACAGGCAGGTGGGATCTGTCAGGCGATCATTCCAGGTAGTCAGTCCTTACACGAGAGGCTGCGCTGGATACTTCGGAGGGACCCTCCAGCTGTGATGAAGGCCCAGAGCCCCATGGAAACAGTCACTGCATAGATGGGCAGCAAGCTGGCCTCATACCAGGGGTTCAGGAAAGTCTGAGAATGAGGGTAAGAGTATAAAAGAAGTTAGATTCTTTCCCTGACTAATCCCTACATTCTTTTTGTACCTCTAACCCAAGCCTCCCCCAGACATCTTACTCAGATTCCCCAGTCTTTCCCTTCAGAACACCAACATCCTGTAGTTAAAGGGATTCGATTTTCCACTCCCTCAAAGATTACGACGGCTGCCGCTCATCTCAGGCCCTCTGCATTATAGTTTGCCTAATCCGTTCAAACTCTTCCCCAGAGCATCCTCAGAGCAGGTGACATAACTAATGCTGTAGAGACTCACCTTTCTGCCTCTGCTCAATGTAAATCGGAAATTTTCAGAGAGGACACATACCCCCATCCCACTTGCCATTAAATGCTTTTCTCCCTAACTTGGCCCCTATCTCCAACTCACCAGTCCTGATGTCAGTAGGTGACTCCCAACCACCAGGCCCAAAGCCCAGTACCGTCTCCTCTCACAGGCATCAAAGAACACAACTCCCCAAAAGGTATGGAGCAGGATAATGGCTGCTGTCAGAAAGGCTGCAGGGAGGAAGATGGGGATGAGACATCCCTGATCTTCTCCCAGCCTCCTGAGATGTGAAGCCAAAGAAGTCTCCCAGGGAAGGCCAATAAATCAGATCAGGGCCAGGGATAAATGGGACATGAAGGTAAGATATGAAGTGAGCCTTACCTGAAGTTAGGAAGTAATAGGGTGAGTCTCCATGGATCCCAACCACACCTGGCCCAAGTGCATCAGCCAAAATATTGATAACAGAGAAGACACCACTGATGATACCGAAGGAGAGACCAGAAACTGTGGGGAGGGAGGGTGCCATCAATGTCAGAAATCACTACAGCCTCATTACCAATGACCTCCTCCCCATTCCCAGTTACATTTCTCCCACACCTACTCTCCCTCCAGACCACCTCTCCTTGGAATCAGGTATGAAGGGAAAAAAGAAGTCACTCAGAATATGTGGATGTTTGGAGATTTCCCTAGGGGAGGGGGCTGTCCAACTCCCTCCGCAGGTCCCTCTCCCTCGGCTCACCATAGGCCATCTGGCGAATGGAGATGGGAGATCTTCCGTCCTCACTCAGCGATGCTAACCCCTCATCTGCCTTCCTGGGATGAGGTGGAGTAGGGGAAGCATGAGGGAGGGCAGGAGTGCTCCTTTCCCTCTAATGTCTTCCCCCCGGTGCCTCTTACAAACCACCACCCAAGGGCTGCCCCATTTCCCACAGTGCAATCCTCTGCCCCTCTTCCCTCCAGACCACCCCATCTTCTTACTTAAGCAGCTTGTAGTAGGCAAAGCGGAAGGCCTCCTGAAGAAGGACAGAGACAGCAGCACCAAAAATCAGGAGGCCATACTGGAGACGGGCATCTGACCGGTCTGTCACATGGACCAAGATGAACCAGACCACAGAGGCCAGGAGCAGGGAGACCAGCCAGAAAAATGCCCTGAGAAAAGACAAGGACAAGGGTAAGGGCAGCCAGAGAAATCAAGGAAGGGAACCAGCCAAGGCTGCAGCATGAAAAATGGAAGTTAGACTTCTGGATGGTCAGAGAGCAGGGACTAAATAGGGTGGGTGTCTGCACCAAGGAACTCGTCTGTAGGAACTGGATGTAGGGAAGGGGTACAAATCTGGTCACACAGTCTTCAGAGAGATGAGAATCAGAGCCCTGAAGGGTGAGGTGTCCACGCCTGGCTCCTCCCGCAGGGACCGGGCTCGGCCAGCCGAGGTCAGCACAGCCCCTCAGGAGTCTCGGCCTTGGGCCTCCCGGTCCCGCCGGGAGCGCACAGGAGGAAATCTGCGGCCGCTGCTCGGCGGAGACCGACCGCCGGGAGGGGCGGACCGCCCGGACCGCGTCCGACCGTCCAGCCCGGGGCCGGGGCTCGCCCAGCTCCTCCAGCCCCTTCCGCTTCTCTCTTCGACGCTCTCACGCCTCTTCGACCACCCGCTACTCACCCCGCGACCAGGATGATAACGCGGAGAGGGTCCCCAGCCACAGTGATCAGGAAAAGCGCGAAGGCTGGGCCGAAGGCGACGAAAGTGCATCCGAAAAACACCGCAGCCCCCATGGCTGGGCAGCGGGGGAGGAGCCCCGGCCGCAGGCGCAGGACGCAGCGGCGCGCCACCGGGGAGTCCGCGTGGGGGCGGGGACGCGACCCCACCAGGGGCGCGGTGCAATGTCACCCCCGGACCCCGGGGAAGGGGAAGGGGGGTACCGAAGCCCCAGAGGGTCCGCCCGACTCGGTCTACGGAAGCCGAGGAGGGGAAAAACCCCGGCCGCAGCCCCATGGCCACCTCCCCTCCAGTCCCCACCCCCGGAAGGCCGCGGAGACGCGCGTGGGCGGGGCTGCGGGCCGTGGGCGTGACCGCACGGCCTGCCGGGAGTCGTAGTCCCCGGCCCGAGCCCGAGCGGCCCGGGCGGGGCTGGGCCTGGCGCCGGCGCGGACCCCGGAGTCCGGCTGCGCCTTGGCCGCGATTTCCTTTCATCACTTTGCAGGGAAGGGTGGTAGCAATTCTGCTGCTTCTTGAAGGGCTTCAGAAGGGGAAGATCCTGTTTGAATCCAAGAGACAAATACAAAGAACACAGGATGGGGTGGCAAGGAGATAGAGACGGGTATTGTTCTTACTTGAATCAGAGGAAGTTGGCTACAATTGCTGCCTAAAGGATGGAGGTTGGACTTAAAAGCAGGAGCTCTTTGAACAGGAATACATCGTATGGCTAATGAAGTCTTCATCTGTGATGACAATCAGAGAGAAGCAAAAGGGCCTGGAGAGAAATATTGCAAAGGAATTTTTAGAAGGAATTGAGAAGTTAAAAAGCAATCAGAACAATGGGGTTGAGAGAAAAAAGCACACATCCCCCACCCCACCCCCCAGTTATTCAATTCCTTTTATGTCATACTTCCTCTATTTATTTTCTGAAAAATAAACTTCAGTGGCATCTTTTCCTCAGACTGCAGAGAGAGAGAGGTTTCCCTATTAGAATGAAGGAAAGTTAAAGTAGGAGAGGAGGGTATGGTCATTCTATTTGAAAGGTGAGAGGTTGATCCTTAGGCAAGGATCCTTAGGCAAGGCAAAGGACTCCTAGGATGGGAAAATGAGAGAATCTGAAATCTTGTTTCTGAAAGAAAAAGGAAAAAAGCCCTATAGAAATTACTTGAAGAGAACTAGGATTCCTGGAAGGGATTTATCATTTCAAATGTATACACTCACATAGATGTCTCATGCTTTTTCCAAAAAATTCTGGAAAGAAGCTGAACAACATATTTGCACAGAAAGTCACTGAGAAATCTTTCCCTAATAAGCTTGAGAGGACGGGAGCATCTTGGCCAGTGCTAAGGACTCAGTCAGGGGAAGACATGGGGGTTAGACAACTTTTTGAGCTGTTAGCATAGTGTCTCCTGACACATAAAAGCAGGCTCTAACCTGTCCTGTATATGGGTGATCTCTTGAGTATGGGTGATCTCAGAGAGACTTGCGTAGTGACTGGCTCATGGTAGATGCTAAGCAGATATTTATTAACTGTGTCAAAACAAAACACTGTATTCTTTTCTTATTCCATTGCCTGTGAGCTCTGAATTGCCTAGCAAACTGCATCTAATACATGTTACTGTTTCTGATCTGAATTGAATGAAAATGGGAAATCAAGAAACAATGATAAGGACTCTACCCCTGTAGTCCTTAATTAAGGGAACTATACCAAATGACTGAAAAGGGAAGGTGGAGTATGGCATCAATTACAGGGAAAGACATTCTGTGCACTACTTTTTCCACTCCATATACAGAGGAAGTTAGGGAAAAGGTGAGATGAGGTCATCACTGACCAGAGAGGATATAACTAGCCTTGGCTGAGAGATTTTTATCAGAAGCAACTCAGCAGGTGTTTTGAGAGTCAAACTACAATAGGTAAATATTGCTCCCATCCTCCATAGCCAAGACAGGCAGAGAAGAGGGACTATTTTCAGTCTAGGAAAAAAAAAAAACAAAAAAACAAAAAAAAACACCCCCCCTCCTTTGAGCATTTCCAAAGAAATTGGTGAAAGAGACTATGATTAATCCTCAGAGAGAAAAGCAACTCTGGATGGTGAGTGGTAAATGAGGAACAGCAAGAAGGTGAGCTTTTTGCAAGGACTAGGAGGAAAAAAGAATAGGTAGACTTCTTTGGTAGCAGCAGTGGGAGTATTGCATGAACCCAATCTAGGGCTGAGGAGTTTCATGAACAAGTCCGCATCTTTTGCCTCTCTCAGCTCTGGCTAAGGACGGGTAGTAACTGAAGATCTAGTCAGTAAGTAGGCGGAGAATTCTGCCCCCAGGGAGAAGAGTCATGTAATTCCCTCCCAGCTTTGGAGCAGCAGGGGAGGCGGGGTAAGTTTGGTGGGAAACAGAGTAATTTCCTCTTTTTACTTTCAAAGCTATAGTGCAAAATCCAGAATGGATGTCCTCTTTGTAGCCATCCTTGCTATGCCACTTATCCTGGGTAAGTCCCCTTCTCTTTCTGAGCTTTTGCACTTGGTCTTCTACCATAAATGGGGTGGGAGAAAAAAACCTGGGGAGAAGATGAGTAGTATATTTCAATGGGGAGTGATTGCACTTTCTTATCTGTGCCAGAGTCCAATGATGGGGCAGAACAGAGATCTGGTTGGCAGAGCCAGGAAACAGGGAGATAAACAGAGTCCAGTCAAAGAAAAGAAGATTTTCAGATGATGAAGGGCAGGGAGGTCCCTTAGCAAGATTCAACTCACTTTTTCACCATAAAGTTGAACAAAACAAGAGGAACTAACAGGAGACCAACCGAGAGAGGTGGACTCTTAGAAGCTGGAGCAGCCTGAAACTTTGTAAAAGAAGCAGGGTATCTCCTTTCCCAGAGAGTAGGAGGCCCGCACACACCCACACAACCTATTAGTGAAGACGTGGCTGTGAGTTGACCTTTAGGGTAGTGGAAAACTGGCTGCTCTCAAGAACAGGGTCCCAAGAGTAGCATGGCTCCTTCCCTCTTTTGTTCCCCAGTCTGCCAGGTGTGTGTCTCATTGTTTCCCTTTCCCCTAGATTCTTGTGTCATTAGTTTAGGATTGGAGGGAAAATGTTCAAGGAGCTCAGGGAAGTGTTTAGGAGGAGACCTAGAGTTCTTGATTCCATCATCGATGCCACATATTTTCATGGAAAAGAAAGACAAACTAATGGAGAAGGGTCATTTAGTCCAGCTGACTCATTTTTTTTTTATATTTATTTTTAGTTTTAGGTGGACACAATATCTTTATTCTTATGTGCTGCTGAGGATTGAACCCAGTGTCTCAGGCATGCTAGGCTAGTATTCTATCACTGAACCCCAGCTCCAGCCCAGCTGACTCATTTTAAGAAAGCGGATAGTTAAATAGTTTCTCAAGGTTATTCTGCTAGTTAGCAGTGAAGGTGGAATGTCTATTAGTTATTTGTGAGAGACACTGATAAAAGTTGATTTCTTAGGTTGCAGGCGTAGCTCAGAGATAGAACACTTGCCTAGCAAGTGCAAGGCCTAGGGGTCAATCCCCAGCACTGTTTAAAAAAAAAAAAATCACAAGTACAGTAAATTCTGTAACATATTGAATAGAATAGAAGATTTGGTGTTTTCAGTTTCTGATCTCCACATCTTCTTCCTTTTTTAGGTTTAGTTCTCTCTTTGGGTTTCTAGTATGTGAAGGGACCTGTTTCTTTCTCAAGAGTTCCTGATTTGGAAGGGCATGGAGTAGCAGGCCTCAGTTCAGATATGGAATCCAGAAGACAGAACAGTTTACAAGTGCAGAGTCAGGGAGATAACAAGACCCTTGGAGGGGAGGCCAAAAGAAGAAAAACTGGTAGATTTAGGATCAACTTCAGATTTTGACCTATAGTCCTTATCTCCATAGGACAAGAATATGAGGATGAAGAAGGATTGACAGAAGATTATTATCAGGTGGCCTATTATTACACAGTCACTCCTAATTATGGTGAGTGCCCCTGATCCTAAGTGGGGTGGAGAAAGACTTTGTGAATACTTAGTTCTAAGACTATGCCCTTCCCTTTGCAACAGAAAAACTGAATGAGAGGGAAGTTTGGCTAGGAACAAAAATTATCAAAATTCATGCTTTTATTTTTTCAAGCTAGTGATTTTTAATTCTTTGGAAAATGGCTGAAACACTTTGGACAGTTTCAAATTTATAAATTTGAATGAAAATATAAACACATTATTTATAAACATTTTGACACTAAAGTTAATTAGAAGTGGAATTTACCAATATATTTTACAACTTGAGCAAGTTAAAGCGTTCTGTGCAATTTCTTCCCCTTTCATTACTGGATCTAGAATTCCCTTTTTCCATTGTTACTACTAATTTTTTTTTTCTCCTCCCCAGATGACTTTAGTGCAAATTTCACCATTGATTACTCCATGTTTGAGTCAGAGGACAGGTTGGTGAGTGACCTCTACATTTTAGAGTGGCAGGATAAATCAAAGTTAAAAAGAAACTGGGCAATGTTGAAATGTAACCTTGATTAGCAAGAAAGAAAATTTGGTCGACTGAGAGAAACTAGAAAGTGGGTCCCAAACAGACTTGTCAATAATAACTGGGGAGGAGAAGGAAGCCAAGCCCAGTAGATTTACTAAGAACTAAGAAAGAGGGGCAGTCAAAAGATTTGTTGAGCTGTAATCTCAGCAACTCGGAAGGCTGAGGCAGGAGGATCTCAATTCAAGGCCAGCCTCAGCAATTTAGGAAGACCTCGCCTCAAAATAAAATAAAAAGAATTGGGGATGTAGCTTAGTGGCAAAGCATACCTGGTTTTCAGTTCCCATCAAGTACCTCAAAACAAAAAAACCAAAAAGGACTTGTTGAACGGGATAGGTAATACATTATCCAGGAAAGTACAAAGTAGGGAGAATTCCAGAGCTTAAGTCTTTGCTAGTGGGAAGGGTGACCTGGTTGAGTACTGGTGCAGGGGAAAATAGAGAATCTATGAGGATGTTGGATGGAAGTGACGATAACTCTATTTCCCAATCCTACTGAGAGAAGAACAGTTTGGATAAGGAAGAAACAACACAAGCAGTGGAGACTACCATTATTCTTAAAACAGAACATGCAGATCATCAGAAGCCTGTCACCATGAAAGCAGTAACAATGGAAACAGTAAGTTGAATGGGAATTAGAGAGGAGGGAGAGAATTCATCCCTTACCCAGATAGATCCCAGGGCTGGTGACATGGAGTAGAGAGAGGGCTGCAATACTAGGCTTTGGTGGAGGTGGAAACCAGATAGCTACTGCTGCAACGCAGGTGTTCATCTCAACTTGGCCATCAAATATCTCACTGAGATCTAACATCCATACAAACACAGGGAAGATCCATTCCAGTTAAATTTCAGTTCAGTTGTACTTAATATGTATGTGGTCTGTGTCTAAGGCTGCTGAGGGTACTGATGGAAAGAAACCTAAGATGTTGCTATTGCCCTGAGGCATTTACAAGATGCATGATTACATTTATGAAATATTTAGAATAAAATGAATTTAATACAATATTAGATTACCTATAAGTTTGAGAACATATGACATAGGTAAGTGTTTTAGACATTGTAGGAAGAGAGCTTGTACAAGGTAGAATTGTCAGGAAGGTTTAGGAGGTGGTGATGCTTTAGATGAACTAAACTTGATGGGAAATTGTGAAAGAACAAGTGCAATTAGGGGGAGGAACAGTTACTATAAGAGTAAACAAGCTTCATAGGTGAAGGAAATAATACAAGTATGATATGTTTAGTGAATGGGGTGTGATTGAAGAAGAGAGTCTAGAGATGGAAAGAGTAGGAATCAAGTTTTAAAAAAGTACAAACTCCTAATATTTGCTTGATAACTTTGCATAAGGCAAGATAGGACTAAATTATGGATAGTCTGAAATGTTGGACTGAAGTTTGGCCTTATAAGCAATAGGGAGCCTAGTAAGTCCTTCATATGATAAAGAAATGATGAAAGTAGGGCTGGGGATGTGGCTCAAGCGGTAGCCCTCTCCCCTGACATGTGTGCTGCCCAGGTTCGATCCTTAGCACCACATACAAACAAAGATGTTGTGTCTGCTGAAAACTAAAAAATAAATATTAAAAAATTCTCTATCTCTCTCTCATCTTTAAAAAAAAATGATGAAAGTAACATTTTAGGGGAAAAATAAAACTATTCATCTGGATTGTGCAAGATGCCATTTAGTGTAGAAAGATTCATCAGATTTGCATTGTTCCAACAACAATCTATTAAAAGCCTGGACTAAGGAAGTGGTATTTTAAATCCAGAGGAGAAAGATAAGAAATACTTCGAAGAAAATGCCTTGCTTCATTAATAATTTCATCTCCGGAATAAATGAAGAGAGATTAAAAATATCACATAGGTTTTAAACATGTTTGAGAAAATGGAAACTATGGGAAGCCAGTGTGGTTTAGGAGGGAAGTTATAAATTTGGTATTGGCTAAGTTAAAGGGATTCTGCCGGCCCCAAGAGGGTGTCCTTTAGGCAGCTGAACTACGTCAGAGCTAGAGTTCTAAGTGCAAAGTCACAGTTATGAAAGTGAATGAGCTCAACAGAGCCAGTATGCACAGAAGCTCAAAAGACCAATGAACGTGGCTACAATTAGTAGAAAGAGGAAGAGGAACCAATCAAATAGAGAATGACTGACTGGAGAGGCAGGCAGCTGGCCAAGTCTGTGTTATAGAGTCTAGAAGAGAAAGCTTACTATAATCAACCAAATGCTACCAAGAGGCCAAGGAGAAGGAGAACTTTGGTAATCCCTAAGAAAGTAGTTTTAATTAAGTTAAGAGAAGGTAAATTATGAGGAAATAGAAGCAGATATAGACTAACCACCTGAAAAATCCTGGTAATGGAAAAAAAAATGGCGACAGCTGGAAAGGGCAACAGGGTCAAAAGAGCAACCTAGATAGAGCTGACCATAAGTGGGAGGCGCTGGTAGGAATGGAAAACAAAAGATTGACAATAGGCACAAACACATGTTTTTAAAGTATACAGTTTGTTCACTTTGGATTGTAACTCTCTTGAGAACAGGAACCACATTTTATTTGTATTTATATCCCCCCATAGCACCAAGAGCAGTGTCATGCACATAATAGATAAAAATAGTGTCACTGAATTGAGTGGGGTCTCCTCGGTATGGTCAGGGATGGAAGAAAGAACGTCTTATAATAGTGGAGAGGAGAGTCAGAACTTCCCTTGAGGCCAACGGTAAGAAAGAGGTTGGTGTAAAGATATGCCTATCCTCCTGAGAAGTGGGAAGTAATAGGATGACACTGGCCTGATGTGGGGGCATCTGTATTTTAGCAGAGTCCAGATCTGAATGATGCTGTGTCCAGTCTGCAGAGTCCTGTTTCTCTTCTCCTGTCATGGGTCCTCCTTCAAGGGGGGATGTATTTCATGTAAAGGTGAGAGTGCAGCCACTGGCCTTGGGGGAGTCTATGAAGTAATTCTTACTAGTTTTCCTTGTCTAGTGTTGCCAGCCTCATCAATTCTCAGCTGCTTAAATATAAAAGAAGGAGCTGGGCATGATGGCACATGCCTTTAATCCCAGTGACTCCAGAGGCTGAGGCAGGAGGATTTCAAGTTCAAAGCCAGCCTCTGCAATTTAGTGAGGCCCTACGCAACTTGGCAAGACCCTGTCTCATAATAAAAAAGTTTTTAAAAGGGCTGGGGATGTGGCTCAGTGATTAAGTGCTGTGGTTTCAGTCCCCAGTACCAAAACAAAAGACAGAAGGATCACATTTAGGAAAAAAAAAAATCCTCATTATCTAATTTTAAAGAAGTTTGTGAGATGTTGAGGCAAAGATTATGAGTCATTAAATTTTCTAAACTGGGAGGACTTCATGACCCCCTAGAGCAGAGGCAGGTGGAATAGAGAAGAAACCTCTCTAGGCTTCCAATATGTCTTGAGGAATCAGAGCTGGTTTCATTCTGGCCCTGGTTCAAAGGGCAAAATGGGTGGGTCCTACAACCTGGTGGAGTTCAGAGGCAAAGTTCCAAGTCAGAAGGGTGGTGGTTCCCTAATGGACTGGGGTGATCATGGGCAAAGGAGCAGGGAAGAGACAGCTGTTATAAGAAGGAATGTTAAGTTGGGGTTCTAAATAACTATGGAGCATAAAGAGATTCAGAGGAGGAGGAAGGAGTGACGAGGGGAAGGAACATATTTCCCCCAAGAGATACAACAGGGGAATCCCAGCTCAGAATATAAATTGGAGGAGTTGGGTTCCCTGACCCTGTTTTCTTCTCTTTGCTTTTTTAGGTGAGAGAAGGCTGCTGTGACTCCTTGGATGGGAGTTTGACTCGAAGAAATTGGAAAATAAAAAAATAAATGAAATCATCTGGTCACTGTCTACTTCATGGGAATCTATTCTAAAGTCACACACTAAAGAGAGTATCAGAATTGGGGGACAGGAAGAGTAGATTAGAAAAAGAATTAGGTGACAATAGATTTGAAGGAATTAGGAATTGTAAATATACCTGGAATTTGGGCTAAAATGAACACCCACAGATGACAGGTTTATCCAGAGTCCATAATTCCCTGTGATTCTATTGTTTTATGTGGTATTGAGACACTATGCTTGGGAAATAGGGTTATGGTTTATTTAGAAAACTTTTTTTCTTTTTATAAAATAAGCATATTGGGCTGGGGATGTGGCTCAAGCGG